GGGGCACCTGCGGGTGGTGGGGTGGAACCAGCCGACAGGAGACAGAGCGGACACGCACCTGTCACTGGAGTAGAAGGAAGCCCAGTGAGAACTAAACTTCGCTTGCGGTATTTGTGCTGGTTTGGTGCATCAGAGAAACGGTTCCGTGCGGAAACATAGTGGAATCTCGCTGATAACTCTCGTGGTGTTCAGTGGATTCTCTGGCATTTGGAATCTAGTCCATATTGTCCTTGTTCCCTCTACGGAGAAAAGCATAGGGTTTCTTCAACGAGAATATGAAGAGAAATGCAGATTTCAGTCATCCAACATACGCTTCTGGGGCAGAAAAGCTCCAAAGTTCAGATTTGACCCTTTGAAACAGTTTCACTGTTGTTGGCAGACATAGTTTCTTCGGACTTCACAAACATTTCCCCATCTTGAATTGTTTACGTCTCTCGTTAGGCTTCTGTTTCAGGGATTGTCATCGTTTACATATTACCTGTCTTTCCCCAATGGCATGATTCACACTAATAGGGACAGCCTAGGGGCAAAGGAACAGGGAGCTGAACCTGAGACCATGATAGAAAATATACCATCAGCTGTGAGAACAAGCAACCCCAAACAACAGCGAGTCAGATATTCTGTCAAAATAGCACGAGGTACAGACAACCACAAAGAAAACAGAAGGTGTATCACCCCATTCCTGACAAGCCTGTGTCCTCTTACTAACAGTAAAATAACCATTCCTGACAATCAGTGAGGGGCAGCCTCAGACCAGGCCCTGGGGGAGGACATCTGGGACCAGGAATAGAAAACTGTAATTAATCCATGATTCATAATCCACAGGGTCTTTTCCACTCACACAGACAGACCCAATTCTGTCTTTAACGTGTGGTTTTGCTTTGCAAAATTGGTTTCTGACCGAATGCTGTAGAGTCAGTTCTGACCCATAGCGACCCTGTTTCCAAGGGTGTAAATCTTTACGGGAGTAGAAAGCCTCATCTTTCTCCCGCGGAGCAGCTGGTAGTTTTGAAGCTCTGACCTTAAGGTTCGCAGCCCGATTTGTAACCACTACGCTACCAGTGTTGTTAAGTGCCGTTGAGTCGATTCTGACCCATAGCGACCCTGTACAGGGTTTCCGAGGGTGTAAATCTTTACAGGAGTAGAAAACCTCATCTTTCATAGCTTCTGTTTATCTTGGAATGTTTTGATTACATCCTCATATTTGATTCATAGCTTTGCTGGATAAAGGATTCTTCGTTGGCAATTTTTTTCTTACAGGATTTTATATATGTATCCCCATTGTGAGAAGGCATAGGTGTTGTTATGTATATTTCCATTTCAGTACACTAAACAACAACAACTCCATGGATCACGGCACGTTACGGTCTGATCTAGAGCTGGAACACGGACCACCTCGGATTGGAAAATGCTCAAAAGAAATGATGGTCTCAAGAAGGCAGATGATCCGTGAGCGCACAGAGTTCACTTCTTTTGTACATGGGGTCTCCATGAATCAGAGCAGACTTACGGACACCTAAGAACACCACCAGCTCTGAGAGAGGCACTGAAAAAGCTGGCAAACAGGGTTGTTTTGGCAGGGGAAGGCAATCGATGGTGTGAAGAGACAATGTGTCTGATGCTCTCAGAGACCTGGAGAAGTCTCAAGTGCAGTGAGCTCACAACGGGGACTCAGACAGAGGACTCCTGGAGGTCCCAGACCTGCCCCAGCATGCCCCTGAACTTTTCACTGATTTTGAAATCAAGCTGCTGTGGGTTGACTGGGAAAGTCTGAGTCCGCAGATGATGTAAAGAAAAGAGGCAGAATCCCACTTCTCTGTTCACAAGCTTCCTGTGAGAACTGCTAAAGAGTGAGGGTCCTCCCAGAGAGGAACTCATTAACTTGGGGCCTGATTGGGATTAGACTTTGGGGTATAGTATGAACCAGTAAGATGTGCATACTTAAGTGTATATAAGATAAAAAACCAGTTGTCAGGGACAACTCAATTCATGGGGACCCATATATGTCATAGTATGACTGTGGTTCACGGGTTTTCAGTGGATAACTTTTCATAAGTAGATCCCACTCATGGTGCCCCATGTGTGTCAGAGTAGAACTGTGCCCCACAGGGTTCTCAGTGGATAACGTTTCATAAGTAGATCCCACTCATGGTGCCCCCGTGTGTGTCAGAGTACAACTGTGCCCCACAGGGTTCTCAGTGGATGATTTTTCATAAGTAGATCCCACTCATGGTGCCCTGTGTGTGTCAGAGTAGAACTGTGCCCCACAGGGTTCTCAGTGGATGATTTTTCATAAGTAGATCCCACTCATGGTGCCCTGTGTGTGTCAGAGTAGAACTGTGTTCCATAGGCTTCTCAGTGGATGGTTTTTCATAAATTCTACTGATGATGCCCTCAAGTGTGTGTCAGAGAATTGTGCTCCAGTGTTTTCAAGGTTGTCATCTTTACATATTGCCTGCCCTTTCTCCCACTCAGCCCATGGGTCGGACCAAACCACCACCATTTAGGTCACTGTTATTTGTAGAAACCTGGAGTTTACTAGGCTTCACAATCACCCATGTTGGCCTGAATTGAAGTGCTCCCTGTTGGACTTTTGGGTCATCTTTACAGAATCTAAGCACCAGGTCTTTCTTATTTGACACAGCAGGGTAGGATGAGACCTCCATCCTTTAGGTTTCTGTGCTGTGTGGTTTCTGTATAATCGATTCACACTCATAGCAACACTGTATTGTGCAGACAGGGTTTTCTAAGACTGTGAATTTATTTTTTTACAAACAGATCTCCATTCCTTTCATACACAGTGCTGCTGGGGAGATTCGAACTTCCCACAGTGACATTAGCAGTTGAGTGCAAATTGTATGGGACACTCTGCTACCCAGGGCAGAATCTTGCCCTCAACAGGTCCTCTCTCTGTACTGGACAAAACTCAGTCTCTGTGCTGGCCATGAGCCCACAGACCAAAGCTTTGAAGGACAGACACACTACCCAGGGAACCAGCTGACCACAGTCTCCAACAGGAAGAACATTCTGGTCCACTGGAGGAGGAATTCATATCTGAGAACCCACTCAGAAAACGCTCTGCCATCGAGTTGATTGTGAATTGTGGCAGCGCCATTGCAGAGAGTGGAACTGTCCCTGGGCATTTCTGAAGCTGTATATCTTCATGGAAGGAGCACTCAAGATATCAGACAATTTATTGAGTAAGACAAATCTGCTGCACAGACTTTTTAAAGAGTTTAAAAGCAAACACATCAGTATATGTATTGTTAATACATATAGATACACATGTACATGGAGCTCTGTTATCCGAGTGGCTACAAATCGGGCTGCTAACCCCAAGGTCAGCAGTTTGAAACTACCAGGTATTCCACAAGAGAAAAATGAGGGTTCTGCTCCCATAAATATTTACAGCCTCAGAAACCTTATAGAGGGTCGCTAGGAGTTGGAACCCACTGCACGGCACACCACCACCACCATAGATATGTACGCTAGTAAGTGCCTTCAAGTGAGCTCCTCCCCATAGGGACCTTGCCACATTCACCAATGTATTTCTTACAGAATTCCAATTAGTGCACATAGAAGAATTGACTGGAACACAAAATTTGGGAAACACCACAGTAATCATACACAGGTAGTAATTATCAATGGCTTTGTTGTAGTTGTTAGGAACCATCGAGTCGGGACCGAGTCACAGAGACCTTATGTACAGCAGAACGAAACACTGCTCTATCTAGGGCCAACCTCACTACTGTTGTCACGCTGGAGTCCATTGATGTTGCCACTAGGTCAATGCATCTCGTTGGCGGTCTTCCCCTTTTTCTCTGACATTCCATCTTACCAAACATGTTATCATTCACTGGAAAGCAGTGGACCGGGAGCTACAGGTTCACAATTCAAGTCCACCAGCTGCTCTGTGGAAGAAAGATGAGGCCTTCTGGTTCTGCAGAGATTTAGAGCCTCAAAAACCCTATAGAGAGTCACTATGAGTTGAAACAGACTTGACTGAATGAACAGAAAGTCAAAAGTATTATAGAAATCAGAATGTTTGCATTTTCAAAGTATCACCCTATGAGACACTACGTATAAAATTAAGAACACTGAAGTCAAACTATGACAGAAATGAAGGAAATGTATGAAAACTAAACACTCTTAAATGCAGTACAACATCAATGTAATAAAGTGTGCACAATATAATGTGGAAGTCCAGCTCTCACAGGGTCATGAGACTCGAGAGGAGACGCAGAATTGGTGAAACTGAAAGTAATCGAGGAGTCTCCGCTTTGTTGGCTGATGGAGCCCACTTCCTCCGCTCAGCAACAGTCTTTATTTATATTTCAAGTTACACAATACATAATGATTTGACACTTTGATATTTTCCCTTGAATTATTACACATTTTTAATTACATCATTTTTTTCATCTTGTGATTATAAAATCTTAACAAAAGTATTTCTATAATGTTCCACCTGACCTTTCCATATCCTGTTCATTTTCTGACCATTAAGTATTTATCTTCTGACATCATCTCCTTTTCTACGTGATAGATTGTTTTTCCTATTCCTACTAAAAGGTCAAGTTACAAGTCATTTCCACCTCCCAAATCCCTGATTACATTCTCTAATACAAGTTTCTATTGACTCAATCATCTTTGCTTACACTACCTTACTGTTTCTACTACTTATTTATCAATTTTTCATCCTACATAAAGTACCACTATTTTCTATAGTAGAAACATTACTAACATCTATACTAACAGTGTTTCTATGTTTCCTTACCTTTGGGGCCATGAGGCATGTTAAAGGGCTCAACCTAGTTAATTGCTGCAGGAAAAGTAGACTATTAAATTTTGCCCGCCTTTTATTTATGTTCACCATTCTCTGCCCAATTACATAGGTTCCTGTATGTGGTAGTGGGGGTTTTGTGAATTCTGGCCTGTAATTGACTTAGGTGGGGCCTATAGGGGTCGGTCAGCTTCACTTTAGTATTTTATCTGTTTCTGTGATCTCATCAATGCAGCTGCTTTGAATTCAGGTTTTCTGTTGAGAGGGAATAGGTCATGCTGCCTTAATTTATCCAAAATTCTCTTTGAATCTAATCCAGTAAAGTTGAAACAATTGTTGCAAAACTGGATTTTCCTAATATCTGCAGAACTCACAGTGGGAACCGTGAATGTGACAGTACAATACATCCCCAAAAGTGGAATCAGAACCATCCCAAAGAAGAGAGATAAAGAGTGCTCCCCACAAAGTCATCTGCCGTGCTGATGTCTCTCCTTTGCCGGGACTGTGTCAAAAGGGATCAGGGGGTCAGCTCCCAGTAATATAACATCAGTCAAATCATTACAAAATAGTAAACCACATTTACTCAAGGATATTTCCTGAGACTTTACTATAGTAACCAAAGATTTAAAGAGAGGTACAATTAATCATGGAATGACAATATAACAAACATCGATGAGGATATATCCCTGCAGTTACAATGAAGCTGACATGTTTCTGTGAGAACTATGCTCACATTAAACGCAGTATTTTCAATTTTGCTCACTTCACAGTAGCTGTATGGAAGAAACATCTAACATTGGACATAAAGAAGTCTTTTATGTCTGAATCGCTTTATGGACAGTGAGGTGTGAGGTCTGATTAAATGCTTTCTTACACTCCTGACATTCATAGGGCCTCTCTCCATTATGGAATCACTTTTATGTACTGTATTGTGAGGCAAATCTGAAGGGTTTCCCTCTACTGTGTACTCTTTATGTGAAAGGAAGGTTAAGTGATGATTTAACATTTCCCCACATGATGAGGCTTTCTGCTCCCATAAAGATTTCCAGCCTCGGAAACCCTGTACAGGATCCCTATAAGTAGGAACCGACTGCACAGCACATAACCACCACCACCATCACATTCCTTACTTTCATAGGGGCTTTCTCCACTGTGGATATTTCTATGTGATCTGAAACTTGAGAAATGGGTAAACCTTTCCCCTGATTCCTTATACTCGTAGGGTCTCACCACTGTGGATTCTTCTATGTACAGTAAGGGCTGAGGCTCTTGTACCGGCTTTCGCACACTGTTTACATTATTAAGGTCTCTCTCCACTATGAATTTGCTTATGTATACTGAGGGAAGAGGAACAAGTAAAGGTTTTTCCACATTCTTTACACTCATAAGGCCTCTATCGACTGTGGATTCTTCTATGTGCTCTAAGATGTGAGGCTCTTTTAAAGGCTTTGCCACACTCCTTACATTCATAGGGCCTCTCCGCACTGTGGATTCTTCTATGTGTTGTAAGATGTGAGGCTGTTCTAAAGGCTTTGCCACACTCCGTACATTCATAGGGCCTCTCTCCACTGTGGATTACTCTATGTGATTTCAGGTGCGTAGCGGTTCTAAAGGCTTTCCCACACTCCTTACATTCATAGGGCTTCTCTGCACTGTGGATTCTTCTATGTATTCTAAGGTATGAAGTGTTTCCAAACGTTTTACCACACTCCTTACATTGTCCACTGTGGATTATTCTATGTGCTGTAAGATGCGAGGCTGTGACAAAGAATTTTCCACATTTTTTACATTCATAGAGCTTCTCTTCACTGTGGATTCTTGTATGTCTTCTGAGGTGTGAGAGTGATAGATAGCGTTTCCCACACTCCTTACAGTCATAGGGCCTCTCTTCACTGTGGATTATTCTATGTGTTTTAAGGTGTGAGGTTCTGCTAAAGGCTTTTCCACACTCCTTACATTCATAAGGCTTCTCTCCACTGTGGATTAGTGTATGTTCTGTAAGATGTGCAGTTGTTCTAAAGGCTTTTCCACATTCTTTACATTCATAGGGCCTCTCTCCACTGTGGATTTTTCTATGTGTTTTAAGGTGTGAAGTTGTTACAAAGGTTTTCCCACACTCCATACATTCATAGGGCCTCTCTCCACTGTGGATTATTGTATGTGATCTAAGTCTTGAGGGTGTTAGAAAGCCTTTCCCACACTCCTTACATTCATAGGGCCTCTCCGCACTATGGATTCCTCTATGTATTATAAGTTGTGAAGTTGTTCTAAATGCTTTCCCACACTCTTTACATTCAAAGGACTTCTCTGCACTGTGGATTCTTCTATGGAATCTAAGGTATGAGGTGCTTTTAAAAGCTTTCCCACACTCCTTACATTCATAAGGCTTCTCTGCACTGTGGATTATTCTATGTGCTGTAAGATGTGCGGTTGTTCTAAAGGCTTTTCCACA